AAACCCTAAACCCTAAACCCTAAACCCTAAACCCTAAACCCTAAACCCTAAACCCTAAACCCTAAACCCTAAACCCTAAACCCTAAACCCTAAACCCTAAACCCTAAACCCCCAACTCCCTCCCCACGTAGAGCCTGGAGGTCTGCTACAGTCTTCACGCAGGGCAGCAGTGACAAGACGCCGGTGGCGCGAAACCTTCAGGAGCTGTAAGTGGGGATGTTCCCCCTTATGCTAGGAGTAGGCCCTTATTTCCTTGATTGGGGATTTAGGGTTTAGGGTTTAGGGCTACTTGGACCGGGAGTAGGCCCATATTTCCTTGTTTTAGGGCTATAATCCCCTTAAAGCAAAAAAGGTACCCTGTTTATTCCTAGGTGACTAGTAGGCTAACGGTTAGGGCTCTTTTTTTGTATCTTTTTTGCATGCCTCCGGTTCTTCGGGAGCCGAGCGTTGAACTTGAAGCATGTTGGGTTTCCTCATGCTGCAGGAAGCATAGAAATGAACCTGCTATTTCAGGAGTCTCCCCTTACGTTAGTGGGTTTTTGTTGGGGCTTTTCTAGCTGCCTTCTTCAGTGGGTGTTTTAGGGTTTTCTAGGTTTAGGGTTCAGGGTTGGGTGTTACCATATCTCCGCTTTTTGCTGGTGTTGCCAGTATCTCTGAATATGCTGATGGGTGACAATGGTCGAAATTGCAGGGGCAAACCCTAAACCTTAAACCTTAAACCCTAAACCCTAAACCCTAGCGGGCCTTTTTCAGGCACCGGGTTGCGAACTCCCCTCCTGAAGCTTCTCCTTACCAGTAGCAGTAGATGCATGTCCGTGGCCAATGATCGGCCTGACCACGTGTACACACGGGACACTGAAAACCGGAAAAAGAGAGCCCTGTACCCAAAGTCCTAAACCCTCAACCCCAAGCCCTCAACCCTAAAGCCGGCAACGCGAAGCCCCAAACCCGAAGCCTTAAACCCTAGTCCCTGACCCCTAAACCCTAGGCACCATGGAAATACCTAGAAAGGGGGTTTCGAGTTCCGGCCGAACTGTGAGTAGTGCCAGTGTCCCTTGCGTGCGCTCCGTGGCAAAGAAAGGCCTTGCATGAGTCATGGTGACCCTCAACTTCAAGCCCTAAACCCTAAACCCTACACCCTAACCCTAAACCCGAAACCCTAAATGCGAAACCCAAAACCCTATAAACTCTAAGCCCTAAACCCTAACCCTACACCTTAACACTTAACACCCACTCGAATTCGTTATGTTAAATTGCCCTCTGCTGGCAAGTGAGGGCTGTTCCTTCGCTGCGGCGAAGAAAAGGAGCGGTACAGCTTTGTAAAGTGGACCGCTGTCTAAGACCTATGCCAGCCCTAAACCCTAGACCTCAAAACCCTAAACCCCAAACCCTAAACCCTAAGCCCAAGCCCCAAACCCTAACCTCTTGGTCCCAAGTCGACTGTACACCCCGAACCCGAGACTCTGCGCAGACGTCCCTCAAACTTAAGCAAAGAAAGAGCAGGTTAAACCCTGAAGTCCAGGCCCGACTCTTCCCCAGACCCTGTAGGGTTTGGGGTTTAGGGTTTAGGGTTTGGGGTTTAGGGTTTAGGGTTTGGGGTTTAGGGTTTAGGGTCTTGGGGTCTTGGCCCTATTAGGCCTGCCTTCGGCTAAACCTCAGACAAGGCTCCCGACGCCCGCCCAACAAAAACGTCGTCGCAGGGGCGGCGACGCCAACTCCCCCGTCGATGCACAGGCTCAGCGTGAGATGGTTGCAGGGCTTAGTGTTTCGGGGCCGAAGCCCTAAACCCTAAACCTCCAGGGATGGTGATTTAGGGCTTTTGTGGGGCGTTGTAGGGTTTAGGGCAGCCTACAACGACTTCAAGGTTTTGAGGAGAGCGGCGGGTGGTTGCGGTTTCAGGTTTGGTTTTGGGGGTTTGGGGTTGAGGGTTTAGGGTTTAGGGTTTAGGGTTTAGGGTTTAGGGTTTAGGGTTTAGGGTTTAGGGTTTAGGGTTTAGGGTTTAGGGTTTAGGGTTTAGGGTTTTCAGGGGTTTCAGGGGTTTCAGGTTTAGGGTTTGGGGTTTCGGGTGATCCGGAGCACCCGGGTGTTCCGGAGCACCCGCAAGCCATCGCACCACAGCCCACCGTGCACCTGACCACAACAACTTGAGGGTCTCTGGAGTTAGGCATAGGCCCTGATTGGGAGAGATGTGTATATGTATATACGTATATATATATATATATATATATATACAAAACGGGGGACCCTGGGCGTGCACTTCCCGTGCCTTTTTTCGCTGCTGGAGAACCAAAAAACCAAAAAATACTAATATTTCAGAACTCTCCTCGGGATCCGTAGGGAAAACCAAAAAAACCAAAAAAACCAAAAGAACCAAAAGAACCAAAAGAACCAAAAAAACAAAAAAAAACAAAAAAACCAATATTTCAGGACTCTTCCATCAGAGGGCCCAATCGCCAAGAGTCCCTGAAAATTGTTTTTTTTGTTTTTTTTTGTTTTTTTGGTTTTTTTGGTTTTCCCTACGGATCCCGAGGAGACTTCTGAAATATTGTTTTTTTTTGGTTTTTTTGGTTTTTTCCAGCAGGGAAAACAAGGCACGGGAGTGCACGCCCATGGCTCCCGGATACTAAGACCTAGTTAGTATGCTGTGCTCCTTACCTACGTGTGGCCATTATACAAGCTTTTGTGCTGTCTTTTCCCACGCGCGGAACTATTCACAACGGTTTAACGTGTCAGAACACGCATTCGCATAGCAGGGCATAGCAAAATGTTGGGGTCATAGGCGAGCACTGCTGCAAAATTTGTGCTCCCTTGGCAGGCGTCTAGTTTGGCTACTCACTTCTTCATCGTCTTCATGCTTTTCATGACATTGAACTTGCGCATGGACTTGGCAGTCATGTTCTTTGTCTTGCTACACGAGTAGCTTTTCGATGTCTTGCGGGGACGGACAACCGGACGGAGATACACTGCATCATTTCTCTCCATGGCCTGGTTGTGGCGTTTTGCCATGTAGAGGATGATGAACTTGTGGCGGTTTCCTCTGAGTTCATTGAAATTTGCCGAAAAGTTTCTGAACCAGGCGAAGATTTGCTCGCACACGCTCGTGTTCACGTCCTTGACGAGTGCACCCAACTTTCTGCGTTCTCCTTACTTTTTTCGTTCACACATATATATATATATATATTTATTTATATATACGTACATGGGAAATGCACTTCTTCTTCAAAAAAAACGCCTATAATGTGAATTAATTCGATTCACGTGGATTGCAGGAACACTTCTTGGAATGCCGGTAAGCGTGAAACCAATCGACGATGTAATTCTCGATCTGGTGCAAGTGTTCCGATTTCTCAGCAGACTTGATGAGCCCGCACGCACGGTCATACACAAATGAGGTCAACTTGGGATAAAGCCAAACGATATCTTCCAAGGCCTCAATGACGTGGCGATTGTTCTCGGGCTCATGCATGACAGTGAGAGATAGAATGCGACCACTTCGAGGATCACAGCACATGAACCACCCATTGCTGTACTTGGCAATGGCCTCATGAGAGTTTCAAGTACATGTTTACATATTATGTGTGTACATATACAGATCAAATAACAAGAAGAACTTAAATATTCGAACTACTGGCCTTGGACTTTGAGCGTGGGCGCCCAGCTCGTTTCACAGGGCCATCTGCACATCGTGGCTTTAGGCTGAGATGACCGTCTCCCACTAGGAATTTCACATTTGCTCGCTTGCTTGGTGGGAAAACGCTGGAGTGACAAAAGGCTTGATACATCTCAAGATTCGAGGTGTTGATTTCATCGTCAATCACAAGGGACATGTGCGAACCCAACCCCTCGAACTCCCTCAGAGCGATGAAGTAGAAAAGAGCACTTTGGTAACACTTACGGAAATCGACGATCACTTCCACCTCGTCAGCGTTGTCTGCGTGAATGCTTTTGTACGCATGCTCGATGGCTCGGGAAGAGACTTGGCCTCTAAACAAAAGCTCCTCATGGTACTTCAAAAAGGTCAGCGAGAAACACTTTTTTGAGTTCACGAACAGGACACCGTCTGCGAGGTCATTTGAGCGAAGAACATTGATCTTCTTCCCTTTGCTCCACCGAAAGTTGTAGGAGTAGTTGGCTCGACAATTCCTTGACGTGCATTCCTTCGATTTGCAAACCACCTTTCGAGGACCAGGCATGTCATAGCAAATAGCTTCAATGTCATGCTTGTCCATGAGGGTACCCGTGCAACCCGGGACAACACAGTGAGTAAGAGGACATGTCAAGACTGGGACCGGATCACAAGCAGCAGGTCGTTTGCATACGCCTCCTGAACCTCCAACCACGTCAGTGGCGGCATTGAGTTTGACATTTTGCCGCTGCAAAAGACGAAAGATAGTGACTCGAGGTGCTTCCGCCAAACTGTTCAACTCACCCATGCTCATGACACGTTCATCTCCATTGTCGTAACACCGAACGAACCCCTCACGACACCAGATCCCAGTGAAATGATCATCCCGGTGACACAGGTACATGCCATCAACGCCTACATACTTTGGAGAAACTGGTGTAAACTGTACGTGAAAGTTCTCGATCATGCTGTTGAGCTCTGACACTCGATGGGGACCATGATAGTGCAGTGTCACAGGTAGCCCGAACCACTGCAAAACCTTCACCCCGCAAACGTTTCGGAATATGCCCTCCTGCTGAGTGCCTCCTGATAAATCATGTGCGTCTGTGTTCTGTGAGTTCACCGTCTCATCCATGAGTCTCTCTAGCTCCTTCTCTAAGTCATCCTCTTGAATATCCTTTTCCCTGAAAACATCTTCTTCCTCGCCTACCGCTGGAAACCCGTTTGCATGACCCGATTCTTGCGAGAGATCAAGACCTGGAAACTCTGGATTGGGTACATCACTCTTCTTTGGAGCTGCATCTGTTGAAGCCCTAGCTGTAGAACTTGCTGTAGACGCCTCTGCTGCGACAGTCTGATCTCTGTGACGTTTCTGCTCAGGGCTTGGGGAATCCAATTCGATTTGAAGTGGACCTGTTCGCTTGAGGCCTCGAAAGACTGCAGCCACCTTTTCCTTCTTGATCCTAGCTTTGGCCTGGGCGTCGTCCATGATGCGGGGGGGAATTTGTGTAGGAGGCATGGGATCTCCTCCGAACAAACTGCGACCTGTCATAGTTATCGTGCGAGGCAACGTCTCCCCTCGAAACAACCTGCTGAGTACTTCCTGAGACCACACCATATCTGCGTGGAAGCTTTCTGGGAGTTTGTGGTTGTGAGGATCCCGCCGGTATGCTTGAAAGATTGCTTGCTGTGACGGGGCAAGGAGGTCCTTGGGTTCTCCGTGAGGCCATTCAATGAACTTCACATTGGATGTGTGATTTCCTGCTACTCGCCAATACACGCCACTGTCTGTGATGACAATTAAGTGAGTGCGGGCAAGGATTGCATCCATGTCCTCCGCGTTGTCAATGCTCTCAAATGATGGATTGATGAGTGTCGTGAAAGACTCATGCTTGATTTCAAAGAGCTTGGAAGAACGCATGTTCTTGTACATCTCCTCATCCTTTCTTCGATCATACGGGTTGTTGCACGCTTGACGACCTGCACCCTGCTCGAAATAGGCCGAGGAGTACCTAGCCCAAACCGTGGCATCTTCCTCCTTAGTTTCATGTCAGATGTACAGTCATAAATATGGAATGTTTAAAACTTCACATCACACATATTTACATATATATATATATGCATTACTAGCCCTTTTAAAGAAAAAACGAATGTTTATAGAATGAGGAACGGACGGATTCAGGAAAGCTTTCAGGAAGGATGAGTCCATCTTCTGGAGCATTCCATCGTCAAAGATGCCTGGTTTAAACTTGGTGAGAGGTTCGGACTTGAAAAAGTCCAGATGCTTAGCGGTCAAAATGGATGGGGTAAGATCTTCACGGTCCGCCGCATCAATCTCGAACTTGGACTGGCAAAAGGCTACAGTTTTCGACCCGAAAGACTTTCCAGTCCGAGTTCTTCCAATCCATGTGATTGCGTGTTGCCTGATAGACCCTAGCATGGGAACCATGACGAGGTCGAAGAACCAACCCACGAAGCTCCTTAAGGTGAATGGCCAGTACTCTAAAGTTTTGGCATTCTGCCTGCCCTTCATGTGGTTGTGCAAGGCTGCCACGACCTTGCTTTCCACCCAACCTGCTGCATTGTATTCAGAGCCATTTGAAAACACATTTACGACAATGTTTCAGTAAATACATTAAGCACTTAATATTATGTAACAGAACTGGCCTTCGATAGGGCTACCAGCTGTGTGGATTTCCGCGTCGGTCCACTCCATGAACTGGTTCATATTGTTGGATTTCGGCCCCTTCTCACGAATGAATTTGTACCCGGCATCGCGAGCGGACTGATCGACCGTCACTTTCTTTTCGAACTTGGGTTGGATAAGCCAATGTCGGATTTGCTTGCCTCCCATGTTGTCTATCATGTGGTTGAGTGCCATGAGGGCAGGTCGCGTGTGTGCCCCCCACACGAAACGAAGAGCAATTCCGTAACACATGTCGCTGCATTCCTTTCCCAGGATTTTGTTGCGATGGAGGTACACGTGTTTGAGCACATGGAAATACGTGTCTTGATCATCAGCCGGTGCTTCTTCTGGCTTGCTGGCAGGTAGAATCACGAGCTGCATAGTATAGGGAACCTTCGGCTCGTGGCGTAGGCGAAATGGTTCTGGAAGCCCTTTGTAGTTGGACGTCAAACACTCCCTGTAGATGGTGTTGTCGAAGAACTCTTGCGTCATGTTGAATTTGACGTGCTGTACCGCATCGCAAAATTGCTCCAACTTGCCGCAAGTTGTGTCTATGAAACGTACAGGCAAATCCCCAACCGACACTGTTCCCACGGGACGATCGCACTTGATGGGTCGTGTCTCTGGTCCTTTGAGTTTTTGACCTGCTACTTGACCAACAGCCTCATCGAAAGTGAGTGCTCCATCTTGCCCTCCTAGTTCACGAACTAGGCCAGGTATAGACTCACCTGGATAGCCTGCCATAGCCCAAAACACTGGGATACTCACTTGATCTGAAAAGCTGTTTCGATTTGATCAAGGCATGGCATGAAGCATAGTAACACTTCATACATATCATGTACTCACATAAATAATGAAAAATGACTTAATAATTAATACAAGGGAGATCACCACTTAATATGTAAAATATAGCTAGTCAGGACATGCACCATGTCGCTGATTTGCTTTGGCATACTCGCATGCTTGGCATAAGGCTCAACAGTATATTCGCCCACCCGATGAGAAAACAAAAGAGTCACCCCCCGATAACCAAGACCTGGACTTGTTTTGTCTGAGATGAGAGAAATATGGGAAAAAAGTGCACGCCCACAGTCCCCCGGACTCTATATATATTTATTTATATGTATATTGATATATATATATATATATACATCTATGTATTTAGTTTGGTGCCTCGGGTGTAGCATGTAAGTCTTTCGACCATTTAGGGCACTTGGCGGTTCATGGGTAGTGAAAACTGGACTGAGAAGTGACACGTGGTGAGAACCTGATTCTAGGACGCAGAGTAGGCCCTTCTTCCTTTTTTTGGGGTTCAGGGTTTAGGGTTTAGGGTTTAGGGTTTAGGGTTTAGGGTTTAGGGTTTAGGGTTTAGGGTTTAGGGTTTAGGGTTTAGGGTTTAGGGTTTAGGGTTTAGGGTCCCTTATTAGCCCCTGTGCACCAAAAAGGGTACCCCTTGTTGTTCCTGGGTTACTCTGGTGTCTGGCGTGTCTGGCAGTCTTAGAACCCTACTTACTACGCAGAAACCCAAGCACACTGGGCTTCTCCTGTGGCACCTTTTTGTTCCCTTGTTAGGATGTTCAATACCCTAAACCCTACACCCTAAACCCTGAACCCTAAACCCTAAACCCTAAACAGTGCTGCTGATACACCCCACGAAGCCAGAAACGGGCTTCCTGTCTCGATTGGTGGCTGGAAACCTCGTGCGTATATCCTTGGCTTGAAGCTACTGTTGGGTAGTAGGGAACGGAAGAGTGGGTCATCGTTTGTACGAGTCCTTGATTTTCCACTAGAACCCTAAACCCTAAATCCTAAACCCTAAACCCTAAACCCTAGACCCTAAACCCCTGCATTGAAGCCAGGAGCTCACAACGCGAGCTTCAGAAGTCGTGCGTGAGATGGTCGCAGAGGCGCCTACACTCCGTCTCTCAAAAAGCTTGGGGGGTTTAGGGTTTAGGGTTTAAGGGTAGAAGGTTCTGGAAATTCAAGGGGGGGGGGGGGGCGGTGAGAATGCTCTCAACTGCATGCGGGCTGCTGTTGCAACTGCTCTTCAAAAGGCAGCCGTGTGTGGTGTCGCACATGGTGCAACGTGTTTTTGCAGGACCTGCAAAAATTGGGAGAAGCTTTGGGTCCTAAACCCTGAACCCTGAACCCTGAACCCTAAAGCCAAGGACGCAGCGGGTCAGGCTGCAAGTCTTCGCCTTCGATCTAAAAAAACCCCCTCAGCCCTAAGCACTAACTCTGATCAGGGCTAGGTTCGAACATTTTTCTTACCCTGAAATTGTTCCCTTACATACTGACTTCGCTGTTAGTTGAACTTTAAACTTCTTGGGTTTCCTTATTTAGTAGGAATATGAAAGTTTAACCTTTGTTCGCCCTTGGTTATTGGAGAAGTAAGTATATTCCTAGGAAAGCCATAGTTTAATAGTTATAGGGCCCCCACAGCTACCCCAGTGATAGCAAGGGTGAGTGCAAGAAAGGAGATGGGAGAGGATGGTTTGCGAAGGGCCCTGAAAGTAGAAATCCAGAGCCTGAGCCCTCTCACCCCAAGCGCCCCCCAAGACACGGGTTCCACCCTCGACCTAAAGCACACTAAACCGCCCTTAAACCTGAACCCTAAAGACCCTAAAAAACCCTAAAGCCTAAATCCCTGGGCCCGGCCCGTAGAGGGCACGTGTAAGGTTTAGGGTTTAGGGTTGGGGGTACGTACCCGTATAAGAAGGAGGGGTTAAGGGTTTAAGAGCTTAAGTTTAAGGGATTACGGGGTTTGCCGTCTTTAAGGGTTTTACCGGTTTCAAGGGCTTTAAGGATTTTGAGGCCTTGACGGTCCCAGGATCTAAAGGTTTCGAGGACAAGGGCGTAAGGGTTTGGGGTGAGTGCCTCCCCGGAGGCATCTTGCAATAAGGTCCTCAATCACACAGACAACCCCTAAGAAGGCTTTAAACCCTAAACCCTAAACCCTAAACCCTAAACCCTCTTCCCGTCAGCTTCCGATTGAGGCTGGCCTCCCTCCAGTGGGCATCCGCCAGGCACTCAGACTCGCGCGGCAAAGGTTTATCAGGGTTTAGGGTTTAGGGTTTACGGTTCGTGGGCTTTCGGGTGTATGGGCTTAAGGGGTTCAGGGTTTGGGCGTTTAGGGTCCACACCCTGATGGCCCGTAGATTGTCCAGCCAGGAGGTTAAGACCCTAAGCCCTAAAGTCGGGAGGTCCTTAATGAGGATTATCGCACCCCTATGATACTCCCAATTTAGGACTGTTAGTAGAAGGGGGGTACCAACCCTAAGCCCTAAACTGTAGACCCTCATTTTTTGGCTTGCTGCTAGAGACCCAGGAGTGCTTTCTGCCCGTCAAGAGCCGGCTTTGGTTCTGGCCCAGAACCCCACCCCAGGCCCGAGGAGTGGGTTCTTGCTAAGGAGCTTCTTGAAGCAAGTTACCGCAAATAGTCATACTACATTATCTACCCTAAACCCTAAACCCTAAACCCTAAACCATATTATGACCCGACAAACCCTAAAGCCGTAAACCCCCCCCCCCCCCCCCCCCGACATCCTCAGCTCACGCCGAGGGCCAAAGCTGATGGGTGCCTGGCAGAGACTTTCGGCCGCACATAGGGTTTAGGGTTTAGGGTTTAGGGTTTAGGGTTTAGGGTTTAGGGTTTAGGGTTTAGGGTTTAGGGTTTAGGGTTGAGGGTTGAGGGTTGAGGGTTCAGCGATCAGTTCAAGGTTTGGGGAGGTTCAAGAACAGGCCACGAAACACCCAAACCCCTGCTCTCCCTCAACTCCAAGGCCAAGATTGAGCCTCAACGGGATCCGTGCGGTTCAGGGTAAGAGGGCTTGGGGTTTAGGGTTTAGGGTTTAGGGTTTAGGGTTTAGGGTTTAGGGTTTAGGGTTTAGGGTTTAGGGTTTAGGGTTTAGGGTTTAGGGTTTAGGGTTTATAGGGTTTAGCCCGCCCCTCCCCCCCCCCCTGTCTTCAAATTGCCAAGGGCTACAAGACGGAGGCTTCATCCAGGCTGGTCAGGAAGGGTGTTTTGGGGGGAGGTCTCTGGCAGTTTGGTGCTTGCTTCGCGTTGTGCGAGAGTGGGCCTGAAGATGCCAAATACCCCTAAACCCTAAACCCTAAACCCTAAACCCTCTGATTGGCACCTGACACCCTGGCAATCCCCGGGGGCCCGTGCCTGTGCCCAATAAGGAGTTCCAGGTTTACGTCTTTAGGGTTTAGGGTTTAGGGTTTAGGGTTTAGAGTTTAGGGTTTAGGGTTCAGGGTTTAGGACTAGCTGCAGCAAAGGGATCACGAGGGATCCCGGAGGTTGGTCTTGTGGGCGACCATTTAGCCCCTGTCATCGTTTTGAAGGAGCCTCGAAAAAGGAGTAGGCCCTTATTTCCTTTTTGGGGGGTTTAGGGTTTAGGGTTTAGGGTTTAGGGTTTAGGGTTTAGGGTTTAGGGTTTAGGGTCTAGGGTTTAGGGTTTAGGGTTTAGGGTTTAGGGTTTAGGGTTTAGGGTTTAGGGTTTAGGGTTTAGGGCTACTAGGACCCGGAGTAGGCCCTTATTTCCTTTTTTCAGGGTTGGGGCTCCCTTATAATCCCCTTAAGACTAAAAAAAGTACCCTTTTTATTCCTAGGTTACTCCTGGGTCTAGAAAGGGCCTGCAGGATTGATGAAAAGGATCCCAAAACCCTAAGCCCCTTATATGCACACCAAGACCGAGCTGGTAAGTTCGAGTGGCGCTTTCCGACTCTAACGCTCAAACCCTAAGCATAGATGCCCCTAAACTCCTAAACCCTAAACTCCTAAACCCTAAACCCTAAACCCTAAACTCCTAAACCCTAAACCCTAGACTCCCAAACGGCGCTTCAGAATAGACCTAGGTTTAGATTCCATGCCCGCGTCCAGATGCTCGGCGCCGACGTGCAAGACCCAGAGCTGCGAGTCAAGAGGCCGAATTCACGATTTTTGCCCGCTTCAGGAACCCCAAGCCCTAAACCCTAAGCCCTAAACCCTAAACCCTAAACCCTAAACCCTAAACCCTAAACACCTGAACCAAACAATGGAGCGTAAGAGTTCACATCAAGATCGTCCATTCCAGTACCATAGCGGCAGTTGCTAGTAAGGCCACTAGGATGTGTGATGTGTTCCCTTGTTGGGTTTAGGGTTTGGAGTTTGGGATTTAGGACTTAGCGTTTAAGAGGATCAGATTTAGGATTTTTTCAGAGTGTTTTAACTCAAATCCCTACACCTCCTGAATTGAAGCCCCCCACCCAACCCTTCATGTCCCTAACAGCACCTGACGCCTACAAAAGGCTCCACCGAAACCTGACGCCAATTTTGTGGTTTAGGGTTTGGGGTTTGGGGTTTAGGGTTGTTCCCTGCACTAGTAGAACGGTTTTTTCCCCACTCTCGGTGCGTGGTTAACTCAACTCTTCTCCCCGGCCGGTCTACTTCTCCTCGCCCGTCTACTTCTCCTCGCGCAGAGTGTCCCTGGAGTGCCCGAGTGTGCCTGGAGTGCCCAACCCCAAAGCTGGTGTGCCCAACAGTGTCCCTGGAGTGCCCAACCCCAGCTTCCCTCAAGGGCCCAACCCCACTCTCCCAGAGTCTCCCTGGAGTGCCCAACCCCAGAGTTTCCCTGGAGTGCCCAACCCCAGGATCTCCCTGGAGTGGAGTTAGGGGCCTGCTCTGGAGCCTAGGTTTAGGGTTTCGGGTTTCGGGTTTAGGGTTTCGGGTTTCGGGTTTATATAAGGTTTCAGACGAGGATCGCCCCGCCTTGAGGGTTCCTGCTTAGAATTTAGGTCGGTTTCCTCCCAGAAGTAAATGAAGAATTATTTTACTTCGAACATCCCCACCCTGATTCTCTGGGGTTGGGCACTCCAGGAAAACTCTGTGGTTTCTTTAGGGCACAGGTTCCCGAATTGGCCCCCTCTAAACCAAAAAGGGTACCTGCTTGTGCCTAGGTTGCTCTGGGTCAGTAGGTCCCTAAACCCTAAACGCCCTAAACCCTAAACCCTAAACCCTAAACCCTAAACCCTAAACCCTGGACCCAGAGCAGGCTCTGGGTCAGTAGGTCCCTAAACCCTAAACCCTAAACCCTAAACCCTAAACCCTAAACCCTAAACCCTAAACCCTAAACCCTAAACCCTAAACCCTAAACCCTAAACCCTAAACCCTAAACCCTAAACCCTAAACCCTAAACCCTAAACCCTAAACCCATTCCCGGGGGTCTGAGCGCAGGCGCAGGATTACCAGACCCTCGAGCCACGGTGCGCATGGGCGGTATTGGGTTAGGGATTTCGTGGTTTTAGGGTTTTTGTAGGAACCCTAAACCCTAAACCCTAAACCCTAAACCCTAAACCCTAAACCCTAAACCCTGGAAGTTGAGTTGCAGAAGTTGTTGGCGTGGCAGAGGTGAGTCGAAGGAGGTGGTGCATGGCTGAAGGTAGGTGTTCTACCAGCAAATGAGCATGCAAACCTGTAGGTTCAATGCGATGTTCTCTTGGGAGTGTGTGGTCTTGTGGGGGCTTATGGAGGGCGCTAAATCCTAAGCCCTATAAACCAGCCACGCGGCTACGCGTAAACAGTTTAGGGTTTCAGGGGGTCGGTTAGGGTCGGGGATTTATAGGGTTCCTTCAAAACGAATACTCTACCCCCAACCACACCCCCCAACATTTGAGCAAAGACGTGGTGCGTGTGCGCGTGTACTATATAATGCCACAACATAACAGGAATATTGCGGGGTGCTGGGGCTTAGTATGTGGGATGACATCCGAGACGTACCCTCTTCCTCCCTAAATCTGGCAAATGCGTGAAAGAGCCTATCTAACAAGTGTGCCCTCTCCGCAACAGGAAACCCTCTGTGTGGGCGCGACCCTAAGCCTTGAACCCTGACCCCGACTTGCCCTTCTTAAATTGTAAAGCCCGGACAAACAAATCCGAAACATCAAGGCCCACAGTCCTCAAAACCCAACCTAGCTCCAGGTGCAGCCGAGCTCCTATGGGAAGGGATGTAGATGGCCATGTCTCAAGATCGGTTCTGAGTGTTGGGTGCAGCTGGCGCAAAAGGGCGGTGCAACGGACGGGGGGGGGGGGGGGGGATGTGTTTTCAGGGGGTTCCATCTTTCGTACTTCGAAGTCGAACGTGAAGGTGTTCTCTTCGTGAGCAGAGGTTGCAACAGCCACAAATTCACGACAACATGCCAGAGAGATTGAGCGACAAGGAATCAGACTTGGGTGCAGTGCCTTCGCGGGGGTGGGAAGGAAGGGGCAGTGTCTTTGCATGGGCTCAGTATTTGTGCAACCGACTCTTAGGGATTCAGGGATTTAGGAATGTGCCGGGTTTCGGGGCTTTAGACTTTAGGGATGTGTCGGGTTTCGGGATTTGGGGGGTTTTAGGAGGGTGGGGGGGGTTTATGTGGCAGATGGCCTAGCCTGCAGTGCCAAGAGGGCCTAGCACCCTGGAGACCCTAGGAAGTTTGCTCTTTCCCTTGTTGCTTCTTGACCTCATCCATGGCAGGCAGTCATCTGGCTGGGTTCTTCGTAGGGAATGAGGGAGTGCGGTACCTAAGTACTCCCTTTGAAGAGCATGTTTTGGGCCGCCAATTTCCTCATTCCCTACTAAGAACCAGGGGCGGGGGTTATTTCCGAGATTCGGCGCGGCTTCGGGTTCAGGGTTTTCCCCCTGGTTCTTAGTAGGGAATGAGGGGGGCGCCACTTCCAAGGTGTACGCGCGCGCTTCCAAGGTGCACGCGCCGTCTGTGTCCAAGGTGCACGCGCAACGTAGGGGACCTGCCAGGGCCGAGTGTTCTTGTACCCTGAAGCCTCAAAACCCTAAACCCTAAAACCCCCCAAACACTAAACTCTAAACCCTAAACCCTAAAAACCCCTAAACCCTAAACCCTAAAACCCTAAACCATACCCCCAATGAGGGAATTAGGGGCCCTGTATATACCCTTTCAAGGGGATTCTACAGGCCCCACATATACCCGTTCAGGGATACAACCGTTCAGGCAACTTATTCTCTCATTCCCAAAAAAGAACCAGCCCGGTTAGGGTTCTTGGATGCTCCATTTTCATACATTTCTCGACTCTTGGGTTCTTGGGGAAGCTACAGCAGCTTCATAGCGACATCAGAGGTCCGTTTATGCCCCAAATTAAACTGAATCTCTTATAAAGAGACCCCCCAAACAGGATACCCACATGTTTTGAAGCCCCCCATATGTCATGTGTTGATGACTCCGTCTCGTCCTCATGGGTTCTGCGTAGCGGCCCAGAGCCTGTAGAAGCAAATGCGAAGATGCCCAGTAGTGCCCATCTTCTCTTTTAGGGGGTTTAGGCTCCCTTATCAACCCTAATAGCAAACAAGGGCACCCTTCTTGAGCCTAACCTATAGAAAGTGCAGCAACCTTCCCAGGGTGCAACCCCCCAGGCACTGAAATGTTGGAGTAGCAGGGGTCGTCAGCTGAGGAATGAGCGTCTGTAGGCATGTGTCGGCCGTGCTGCATGAGAGCTCTGGCCTTTCTGGTCTGCAGCTTCCTGCCATGCATGTTTGTGAAGGTGGCTTTATCCCCCTTGGGAATCATTATTTATGTTGTTCATATAAAAACCCAAGAGGATATTTAAAATATTTTTAAATTGAGGTTCTGAGGGGAGTCTAGGTGGCCTCTGCGCCGGCGGGCTGCTGGTCTGCGGGCTGGACGCAGGACTACTGCTGTGGCGCGGCCTCTGAAGCAGGGAATCCTGAATGCTGGGACGCGATCTACACACACCGCCGATGCTGCCCGTCCAAGGATCTGGATCTAAACGTTTCCGTTGCCGTCAGGCACGAGGGTGCTCAAGATGTGAAGGAGCCCTGTTGGGGTGGCGATCATGACAAGGAATGGCTGTGTTGTGACTCAGGGTTACTTGGAAATAATTTTCATTTTGGGGTATTCTAATTCGTAAGAAACAGCAGAAAATGTCATTTTTGCTGGTGTTCCAAGTTCAGTATAGGTGATACGTTCGCTCAGTTCAGCCAGCATCCCACCTGCTGGGGTGGAAGGGGCACTTACGAGAAGTGCTGCAGTCGGGATCCAAGAGTGGTAGCTTCCTTGGCCACCCTTCAAGAATCTTTGTCATAGTGGGGTATCATTGTACATGTTGAAGGATACTTAAACTCAATAAGGAATAGGAATTTTAATTTTTTTCGTTCTATCCCAACCATGAACTAGGAATCAGCTTCCGAGATGCTGCGTTCACCCGGTTCGACAGCTCTTGGATTCCCGGATGGAAGAGTTCCCTTCCAAAAATCCCTATGCCAAGGAGGGCTCGGACGTGCGGACCAGCAGATACTAACTTCGCCAATAGTTGAGTTTTAATCTTCTTGGGTTTCCTTATTTAGTAGGAATATGAGTAATACAGGTTAACCTTTTTTCCCCTTGGTTATTTGGAGAAGTAAGGATGTGTGAGCTGCTGCGCTTAGCAGAGCACACTCTAAGGCATCCTTTCGACAGCAAGTGTTGGTCCGTTGGATACACCGAGGAGAACTGCTGCAGCCCTCGAAATCCTGCTTGCTTCGACGACGTGTATACGTACGAGGCATCGTAGTAGTAGAGTAGGTATTCTGTTTAACCTTTTTGGGGTGTATTTTCTTTCCAATATAATCGCAAAGGCTTACCTTCCGTTCCCCCAGGATACTGGACGACTAAGGCATGTTGTTTGGGCGTGCCACCACAGGTAAGGCTTCTGGAGCAGTTCTTCCGATGCGATCATTGCCTGTCTTTGCTGAAGCAATCTAGGTGGGAGATGAAGAAACAACTCATGTTGGCGGTTTAAATTGATAACTCCGGGGACCCAGATTTGTTGGTTGGCCTTTTTTGCGCGCATTAAAGCAGTTTTTGTTGGGTGGAGGGGGGGCGATATTCTTCTCAGGAAAGCCGCAAAACACTCCGCATATCCTTCATGTGCTTGTGTGTTTCGTCTTGTCTTCAAGAAAGAAGTATGTGAAGAAATAAAGTAAAGTGAAAAGCATCACTTCGAGCATCCCCACCCTGCCCCAAAGTGTATTCTTGCTGGGTATACCCATTCTTTGTAATTCCTTAGCCTTTTGGGTTTCTTGGGTTTCTTAATACGGCAGCTAAAATTTTAATTTTTAGCTACCCTCCTAAGTGCAGCCAAGCATTGTACTCAGACTAAAAGTTCCACGGAGGAAAAGAAGATTCGCCTCAACTTGCGTCACGACACAACAAGCTCAACTCACTTTTCTCGGATGGAAACCTACGTTCAGCGTAAAGCCAAGCGCAGCCTTTGTGTTGATTAAGGACTTTGGGAGATGGTGGAGATGCTCGAGGTGATGGTAGCAATTTCTCGAGGACTGCTGGCGCTTTGGACGAAAATCGCGCTCTCGCCCGGGCATGGCCTTGCGGCCTAAACATCGTTTCATGTCAGGGCCAAAGCGATCAGAATAGCGTATGGGGAGGAGGGGGGGAGGGGGGGGGAGGTATGGCACACCGACTCCGGCAAACATGGAGGTAACTTCGGTTAGGCCCCCTTCCCAGTTCATTTGTACCGTCTTTTACCGTATGAATAAAGTCTTTCATCTTCTAATAGTTTTACTATTCTTACTATTGCTACCATCATACTTCCTGGTGTTGTATTCATGTGTGCGCAACAAGAAAACTTGTTTAATTCGCATGTTCACTTCATTCACGCCTCTAAATTTTCTTGTAGTCTTTTATCTGATTACATTCACTCACTACAACCGCGTATGAATGATTACAACATATTACAACTACAAATCCTGTGCAAAATAAAGAGAAATTTGTTTCCTTCGCAAAATCTGGGAAATCCAAGTTTTCTTAGAAAAAGCTAGAGGTAAAGAGATTGCAGAGCTCAATTTTCCAGCAGAAGCAGAGGCTTTCCTGGAAGATATCGAGCTAACAGCGGTTTCAGAGTTCACATGACAATTTGAAGAAGTAGAGGCTTTCCTAGGAACCTGTAGAGCAAGTTCCTAGGAAAGTATAGAGCCCCTCCTCGCCGTGATTGGCAGGTGCTTCAACATTTCTCCACCCGAAGTTGTTACACGGGGCATTGGCTTTACGCCAAGAAATCCTGCACGCGTTAGAAGTATGCTCGTTGCCCGAAACTCTAAACCCTAAACCCCAAACCCCAAACCCTAAACTCAAACCCTAAACCGCAACCGCCTCGGCCGGCCTGAGAATCCGGGAGCACTTCGACGAATACCATTCCGCGAAGCAAAAAAGGGGGGGGGGTCCCTGAACGCCTTCGGAGTTTAGGGTTTAGGGTTCAGGGTTTAGGGTTTAGGGTTTAGGGTTTAGAGTTTAGGGTTTAGGGTTTAGGGTTTAGGGTTTAGGGCGAGGTTTGCAACAGGATGGTAAATCAAGACGGGTTGACGGTCGGTTGTCATGCACTCCCAGGTGGAGCTGCGATGATTCCCGCTCATGTTTGGCCAGGGGCGGCACCATCATGGCATTTTCGAGCGGCCCTTATGGAAGTTTCGACGTTGTTTGCCTTCCAAATATGGCGGCGTACTCACTCGGCACAGCGGAATCAGCAACATCCTCGGCCGCCTTCGTATTGCAATGGGTGAAAGCCCATGGTTACAATGCAACTGAAACGTCGTTGAGATTGAACTCCCGGCTGAGCCATGCTGTTGAGATCGTGTGCGTTCTGGCTCCATGGCTCATACTCAGGGCCGGCAGCCTTTGGCGAGGCACCACAGCAAGCCCAGGTCGGGGTGTCCGTCAAGAAAAGGGTGAAAGGAACATGGCGATTGAAATTGCTCGACTTGTCGGCACGGTTTCTAGGCCCTTGGGGATATTTTTGATTTTCCCTTATTGGGTTTAACAGGATCATGATGGATCATGTTCAGGAAAATTTGTTCTGAGGGTTTTTAGGGGCCATCCGAGGTTGCGATCATACCACTGCACCTGGCCCACGTGGTCAGAACGACAGATCCTGGAGCGACCATGCACCTGGCCATAGTTCACTACTTCCAGCGCTTCGTTGACATCTTTGATGTCGTCTCAGTTCTGGTGGCCAAATCAGACTCCGAGAGCCTGCTGGCAAGCTTAGATGCCCTGTGGCGAAAGTTGGCGCGTCAGATACCGCTGGTATATGTCACGGTGCGCTCGACCGTATGGCTCGCCGACATCGGCGCCAACCTCCCTCACTGCGCGCTGAAAAACAGGTTTACATGGACTTCTAAGCTGCAAGCGGACTGGCTGACCTTCTACTGTCACTGGCACATGCATGTGGATATGAAGACCTGGCTCGTCTTTCGTTGCATCTACATCCTGAACTTTTACGGGGTACCTCCTGCGCTGGTCGTCGCCTGCATTTTCTTCCCGCTCTCTGCTTGGAGCCTGCAGAGTGGATATCTAAGCTTACGCTCATGGCCGATGCTATACTACCAGTTCTTAGCCTACCGCCTGCCAATGAGCCTGCTGGTTTTCTTCTTCGTGCGTGCCGTCCGAAGGCTCGGCTTCAACGACCCTGAGCCCCACAGCCCAATGAGTCGAAACCATGCTGAACCCGAAGCCCGAAACCCTAAACCCTAGACCCTAGACCCTCGACCCTAGACTCTAGACCCTAGACCCTAGACCCTGAACCCGAACCCTACAGACCCCTGAAACCCTTAAAGGGCCCTAAAAGCCCTGCACCCCGAGGCGACCTCGTGGCGAAGGAGGCTCCGGGGCACTGGAAACAGCAAGGGCTTGGAGTTTAGGGGTTTAGTTAGGGTTTAGGGTTCAGGGTTTAGGGTTTAGGGTTTAGGGTTTAGGGTTGAGAATAAAATGTGAATACGGCTTCCGCGCGAGTGAGATTAGTGCTGGGACAGGCAGACATAGAAAGAGAAAGGGAAAGGGAAAGGGAAAGAGAAAGAGAGAGAGAGAGAGAGAGCCGAAAGGGGGAAAATCAAAAAGCAGCAAGAAGAGCCCGCGCCTGGAAGGTGTCGGAAGGATCCCCTCTTCCCCCTTTCTTAGGGCGCAGGTTCCCGTATAGGGCCCCTTGTAAAACCCAAAAAAAGGGAACCTCTTGGATTCCTAACCCTAAACCCGAAACCCCCTGTGAAGACCCGGGCTTCAGCTGGTTTTCCGCATGGCTATGGCCGCTTGTGGCGGTGCTGCTTTGCAGCCTGGGCTGGGTGCAGTGTGTCCCGAAATGCCCGGGTCAAGATGTGAGAGCGTCCGCGACTCTTAGTGGCAGAGCGGGGAACCTTTAGTTTGTTTTTTTTTGTTTCTTCTTCTTTTTCTTCCTTTTTTTGTTGGGGGGGGGGGGGTCTTCTATTCCTTATAGAATCCCAAAGGCTAACCTTTAGTTCCCCTATACTGGACAACCAAGGACTTGGCAAGATGAGTGCACCAGGGATGGATTTTGGTTCTTCGTGGGCGGCGCTTGTTTTCACGTGGGCCTGTCGATGCTCTTGCTGCGCCCACCCCAGGGACCGTCGCTGTGGAAGGGGAAAGAGACGGGCTTTGTGGCTTGGTATCGGAGTCGGCACTTGTCTACTCCTTTTAGGGTTGGGGCTCCCTATAATCCCCTTAAAACCAAAAAGGGTGCCCTTGTTTCACTCCTAGGCGACTCCTGGGTCTAGGTGGGCAGAGCGCGAAGCAGAGCGCTGGGCATGTTCCGCCTTTGCATCATCCGCCTCTCCCCACTGTCACTGGGCATCCTTCTGCTGCACCATCCACCTCTCGCGTTTGTGATGGGCAGGTGCTACCACAACAGTTCACCCTGGCTGTTCTTGCAAGGGCAACTAGGATGCCCAGTAGTACCCCTATCCCCTTTTTGGGGGGTTTTAGGTTCCCTTGTAAACCCCTTTCAGCAAAAAAGGGCACCCTTTTTAAGCCTTGGTTACTGGGCAGCCTAGGCAAGGTTTGAATTTGAGGGTGGCTTCCAAGCCACCGCAGTTTGTCAGTGCGACTTTGTGGGCGGCCTTCATCTTGGCATGCCTTTTGATCCCGCAGCTCCTTTCTCTACTTAGGTAGCCTTGGACCTTTTTGGGTATTCTATTCCGTATAGAATCCCAAAACCCTAAACCCCAAACCCTTAACCCCAAAGGTCAACCTTTCGTTCCCCTAAAAGACTGAAGGAAGGCTTTCTTGTCCACTTGGGGGGCCGCTCCAGACCTCCTACTGCTCCCCTTGTGTTGTCCTTGCACCGCCCTTCGAATCAGGGAGAGAACAAGGGGAGGAACCCTAAACCCTAAACACTAAACCCTAAACCCTAAACCCCTTGGACAGCTAAGGCTCATGCTTTGGACGGTGCAAGAGCCGTGGGAGAGTCTCTGTGCGCGCGCCCCGAAGCACTTGAGGCGAGCCCTCGCCCTTGCCTACGTGCCTTGGGTTTAGGGTTTAGGGTTTAGGGTTTAGGGTTTAGGGTTTAGGGTTTAGGGTTTAGGGGTTAGGGGTTAGGGGTTAGGGGTTAGGGGTTAGGGGTTTTGGGTTGCTTTCTTCTGGCTGGCTCTTGGGACTTTGACCCTGTTGGGTTGTTGAAGAAACTACAATAAGGAGCCGAAGAGTTAAACTTTTCAGGGGGGGTTCAGAAGTCAGCCAAGGTGCCCTTCTTTCTCAGTTACAGCTTCCTTCGCGTACCGTTGCCTCCGGGAGCGTATTGAAAGTTTAGGTAATAGCATAGCTGTGCCTCAGAATTGACAAGCCCATCCGCACCGAATCGTTTCGGTTTTTTGATGCACAGGGCAAAAAGGGCCTCGTCTGCGTTACGAAAGCCGAAACATCAATAGCACTTGAGCTTATAGTCATCTTGAATAGACGGAATTTGGGTTTCGTTTTTTTTTTTTTTTGGGGGGGGGGGGGGGGGGGTTTGGGTTTTTTCCCACGTTCCTGAAGGAACCCATAGATAGAATCTTGAAACCCATAGATATAAAGAGTCCCAACACCCATAGATAGAATAGTTTCGGTACCCCGAAAAAAGCGCCCGTTTTCGGCCTCCTGCACACATGTTCTATCTATGGGTTTCAAGATTCGTCAAGCACCAGATGGGGTTGCAATGAGGGCCTGCGAGACTTATGCGTCTCAACTGGTATATTCCATGTATGGGAATATCTTGGGATATATTATCTTGAAATCTTGAAAATCGGGAAATATGTATATATCAATATATATATATATACACAACTTTTGTGGATCTCTGAGACTCTTGGATGAAAAAGTATTCTAAATCATTTAAATTGGAACTAGAAGGGACCCGTCGATTCCATCGACGACATATTCGCCTATGGAATGGAAGAAGACGTACGCCAAAGCTTTGAAGAAATACGGACAAATAAAAGATCCACTTAATTTCGGGATCCCTTTATAGAATTCTGAGAGCCTGACGCGCGAGCGTCAATAAAAACTCGAACGAATGATGAAGCGTGAAAGCAAGATTTAGGAATTGTCGCTTAAGACTTAGGAGCTGGCTGCCCGAAGGGACAAAGTGTCCAAATCCGAAGCCGGAAATTCATTCTATAAATGAAATTCATCATCCAAGCATTAAACCCCCGATTCAAAATATTCTGATGAGACGAAATATAATATCAATCTCCTCCAATAATATCCATCGTATTCAAGAAACAGATTCGATCCATAATCTTGCGCGAGAGATATCCTATACAGAATTCGAATGAACAGAACATTCATAAATCATTCTTATAGATCCAAGAATATTACGATGGCAACAAGACGTTAGATTTCGACTCCTATAGAATCCCCCTATGAATCGAAACTCAAATGATGCAGGCATTCTTGAAAAGAAGATCCCAAACCACGGACCACCACCACGAGACCACCACCACAAGACCACCGCCACGAGACCACCACCACAAGACCACCACCACGAGACCACCACCACGACCACCAACACAACCACCCGCACGGACCCCCGCCACGGACCACCACCACGGACCAACCACCACGGACCACCACCACGGGACCACCACCACGGGACCACCACCACGGGACCACCACCACGAGACAACCACCACAGGACCACCACCACGGAACCACCACCACGAGACCACCACCGCGGACCACCGCCACGGACCACCGCCACCCGGCCACCACCATGGGACCACCACCACGGGACCCCCACGACGGCCACAAGGGACCACCACCACCACCACCACCACGGACACTGCCACCACCACGACAGACCACCACTACCAAAGGAGCACCACCACCACGGGACCACCCGCACGCTGTGGGACCACCACGACGAACACCACGAAACCACGGACCACCACCACGGGACCACCACCACGGGCATTCGGGAAAACCCCCCAAAACCCCAGCCTTTCAGCCCCAACCCCTCAGCACCCCAAAACCACCCACCCCCCACCACACCCGACAGAACCCAAACCATTACAGCAAAAGCAAAAAACAAAACCCCCCCAAAACACGACAAAACTCCGGACACAAACCCTATACAATTTCTATTAAACCCCAAAACCCTACACCGTAAAGCGTAAAACCCTGAACCCGGGGGATCCCGAAAATTCCCGGAATTTAAATTCCTAGGATTTTTCGAGAGCTGTTGCTGATATGTGATCGTGAAGCCGAACCCCCTTGAACAGCTGGCGGGCGGCGACCGTCATCGGAACTACCCTGGACCAAGAGATTTCCTTGAAGATTTCCTTGAAAGTGAAGGGGCACCCACGTCATCACTGTTGCGCTGGAACCTTAAATCCAACCCGGCAAGCCCAAACCTCAATCCGGACAATTCCTAAAATTCCGGGAATTTTCAGCTCCGGGTGATTCCCAAAATTCCCAGGATTTTTAGACAAAAAGTGTTAAAATTCCCGGAATTTTCAGGATCCCCCTGCAAGGCCCTCACAAGCAGCCAAATGGACCGGAAGAGGAGGCGGGGCATCCGACGGGGCGGCCGCAGAGCGAAAATAGGGGTCGAGCCCGTAGCCTTTTATGGGGATATATTTTTGGGTAGTGGTTTGTTTGTATAGGATAAATATATTTTAAAATTGTATTGGGGAAGGATATAGATACATGGTCTCTATTCTAAAAAATATATATATACATATATATTCATTTATTTATTTATAGAGGGGAAATCAATTTAGGAGGATGGCAAATGAATGGTTTCGGGATGCGAAATGGTACGTTATGTATAAGATGGATAGGTTTTTGAAATTAAATTTGAATATATTTCAATGGCTTAATAGGAGGATTACTATTGGATATTAATGATATTTGATAATGATATTTAATAAGATTTCTTTTTAGGTCGAAATATAAAATATAGAAAATATAATTCAAAAGATATATGACTCATAATTATTTCACGAATTTATATGAAAATTCTTCAAAAAAATAGAAAAAAACACGAAGGAATGAATGATATGTATAATAAAAGATTAATTTTGATTGAGTTTTTCTGACTTTTAACTACAATTCTATTAGGAATTACAAATATTTACGAATTAATCCTCGTCTAGATTAAATCTAAATAGATTTCGGAATTCATGAGAGATTTCTATTCTCATAAGATGAAAAGGAATGATGGTATCTTGGGAATATATGGAGCCTCGGAAATATTGACTCCAAAAAAATGGAATTATAGAATTTATCATAAATATTAGATCGCCGGGCGGCGCCATAACCGGCCCTTATATAGGGATTTTATATTAATGAATATAAAATCATCATCGCGACAATATTCCCTCTATGGAATCTATATTGGAGTCCATATTGGCAATCAAATTCTCCTTAATCATATATTCTTGATACGTCTCGTCTCTGGCGATGATATTGTCACTCATCGACCAAAACACATATTCCCTCTAGATGGATTCGTAACAACGTATCTCTCAACTATTTGGTGCTGACCTTCGACCCTTTCAGGCTCTCGGAATTCGAATCGTGAAGGGAATCGACATTCAGATGCTTCAGGTTCCCATCAGTGGTCGAGAAGACTTTTACGCAGAATGGAACCGCCTCAAAATCGTTGCGATCGACGAGGCTGTGACGGCTATAGAACAATTGCCCCACAAATACGTGGCCTTGCACTTATTGCAGAAATGCATGAGTTTCCCGAAGTTGTCTTATTGTAGTCGTACGATCAGTCGTTCCCATCTTCAACCATTGCTCGAGGCCCATAGTGAACGCATACGTGTTGCTCTTCAATACCTTCTAGGCAGGCAGTTGACCGACCGACAATGGATCCAAGCGACGCTTCCGACGAAGGCCGGGGGACTAGGTCTGACGATCGACCGGATAGTTGTTCAGGGCGGTTTCATTTCTCGAGCCGACATTGCCATGGTTTGTTCATGCCGGTCCACCAGAGAACAGGTTCGAGGAATGTTGGGCATTATTGGAGATATGGGAATCGATCCCATCGAGGAGTCAGCTACTCGATCCTTGAGACAATTTCTCCCGACTTCCATCTTAGGAGATGGCCCCAATGTTCTCAAGCAGCGAGATCTCAACCAAGCTGCTATTGAGAAGTCAGGCGCTTACCTCCTCCAAGCCCTTCTTGCAGGAGAAGTAGCTAGATTCCAGGCTTGCAGGGCACCTTGGGCCGACGGTTGGTTGAACGTCGTCCCGAGTTCTTGTTTCGACACCCTTCTGTCCAATGTTGCAATCGTTGATTCTATTTCTTTGCGACTTGGTCTCGAGGTTCTCGAAAAAGCGAACATGTGTCCCTTTTGCCCCCAAGCCCTCGATCTTCTCGGTCACCATTGAACGACTTGCATGGCAGG